ATTGAAGCTTCCAGATCCAGTTTTCTGTCCTGACCACCAGTTGGAAACCAGAAAATTGGAAACTTTGTTCAACGAAAAACTGATTAGGAGCTCATGCGATACACCAAATTGCTCGTGAGGATCTCCTCTTTCATTAGACATCGAGTTTATGGTGTACGTTTTTATATTGTAGCTTCCAGATCCAGTTTTCTGTCCTGACCACCAGTTGGAAACCAGAAAATTGGAAACTTTGTTCAACGAAAAACTGATTAGGAGCTCATGCGATACACCAAATTGCTCGTGAGGATCTCCTCTTTCATTAGACATCGAGTTTATGGTGTACGTTTTTATATTGTAGCTTCCAGATCCAGTTTTCTGTCCTGACCACCAGTTGGAAACCAGAAAATTGGAAACTTTGTTCAACGAAAAACTGATTAGGAGCTCATGCGATACACCAAATTGCTCGTGAGGATCTCCTCTTTCATTAGACATCGAGTTTATGGTGTACGTTTTTATATTGTAGCTTCCAGATCCAGATTTCTGACCGTAGAAGTAGTAGCCTCCAAATTAAAAATTTGTCATATTTATAACTGCTGTTACTGGAATATTACAGATTAATCTGTAAATAGACACCATATAATAAATTATACAACAATATTAGTAAATTTTTTCGTTATATTCATTCATAATTTTTGTGTTTAAATTTATTTTTTATTTAAATTTATTTATTTATATTTATCACAGTTGCAAAAAAGGTACTAAATGTAAAATTTGGTCGTTCTGTGTCACCCTGTAGTTTTGTTAAAAATGTTGTTATCGAAAATTAGCAACGGTGCTAACTTCACGCAGGTATGCATGGTTACTCATCCGCAGGGTTCTATAAATCGATTTTTCTGTTTGTGTTTATCGATAAATGATTAATTGTGGGTAGAGTGGTGTGGCAATATGACAAATATGTTGATCATATAATGCAAAAATGCGTTTGAATAACATTGTGTTGGATGGTGGCATGATGCAATAATAAGGTGATGTATCAAAACAAAAACATTTGTTTTTATCCCGACCATCTGTTTAGTCCCGATTTAGATTAGGCGAGTTTACTTGCGGCAATTCTTATCGTTCTCTTTTGAACTTGCTTCATGCGTCTACACAAGGCAATTCGGTTTCAAAATATTTGTTTTTTAACATTTTTTATTTTGTATTTTTAAAATTAAAGGAAATAATAGACATATGAATACAGCAGAAAAAGTACCCTCATCGAACATGTTCTGCATTTGTATTGGTACTTGGTATTGCCGGTACGAGCAATTTCCATTTTTATGTCCCAATTTAGATTAGGCGAGTTTACTTGCGGCAAGTCTTTGTCTTGAGGAGAGAGGGGCAAGGGGAATAGAAATTGAAAAAATTGCTCGTACCGACAATTTTCTGGCAATTCGTTTTGTGTATTTTGTTTGTAGTGTCAGTAATTTGAAATACCAATCAAGAATATTGTCAAAAACGAAATATTTTTGAAACCGAATTGCCTTGTATAGACGCATGAAGCAAGTTCAAAAGAGAACTATAATAATTGCCGCAAGCAAACTCGCCTAATCTTGTAATCTAAATTGATTAGGCGAGTTTACTTGCGGCAAGTCTTTGTTTGTAGGAGAGAGGAGCAAGGGGAATAGAAATGAAAAAAAAAATTGCTCGTACCGACAATTTTTTGGCAATTCGTTTTGTGTATTTCGTATTTGTTGACATTTTATATATATTTAAATGTGAAAAAACAACAAATAAAAATATATGTTTGAAACCGAATTGCCTTGTATAGACGCATGAAGCAAGTACAAAAGAGAACGATAAAAATTGCCGCAAGTGAACTCGCCTAATATAAATAAGGACTATTCTCCTTGCACCTCTCTCCTACAACAAAACTTGCCGCAAGTAAACTCGGCTAATACCATGTTCTGACGAGCACTCGAACAACGCAGTTCGTTCTCAGAATTACCTACATGAATTAACCCGCTCATACAACACTATTCTTAATTCATGTCATCAGAATTTTCTTTTTCAAACTTTTTGTATGGGGAACTAAGTAATTACTTCATGATTACGCTCATCTGTACATGGCATAATATAAATTGGGACTTAGTTTTTGATTCAAGACAATTGGGCTGTTCTCGTACTGCAGGAATCTACTACCTTTTACTCCGACAACGAATTTATTGGTCTGTTCCCGAACAGCAAGAATCTACTATTTTTAATCCGATAACACTCTTTTCCTTTATGATATCTAAGAAAATAGTAAAATTGGGTAGATTCTTGCAGTACGGGAACAGACCATGTGGTATCAAAGAAAATAATAAAATCTAGTATATTCTTGCAGTACGGGAACAGGTCAAAAAAGAACGACGTCCAATGACATAAAATAATTAATACAATGTAGGGCAGCTTGAGTTGATAATAAAAATGTTCGACTTGTATTCGATTTGCTGCTTAGTTTCAATATATTTCAATTTATTTTGCATTTATTTGACATTGTATTCAAAACAAAATATTTTGATTTGGTGGAACAAGCCACCTTGAGAAAAAATTGTAATCATTTGGTAGCTATGCCCTACCTTGTAATAATTATACCATGGGTTGTGGTATTTTGATATGTCAAAAATATTATGCCAGAACAAAAAGATTTACAACGTTACTAAAATTCAACGAAACGTACAAAAATATTCAACATCCCCACTATGGCAAAATGTTTTGTATGACCGTATTACCCAAATACGTCGAATCGATATCTCTTAGCGAACTAAACACAATCGCAAAAAAAATTTGAAAATTATAAAATGTACTCAAATATTTCACATTCTTATTGAAATTTTCATATTTTCTTTTTGTTTGGTTTCTAATTTTAACAAAAGAAAAAATCAAAACTACGTTCTGTCATAGTTGAATTTGTTCAACTTTGAAAATTCGTACGTCGACGTATTTCGGTAACATGCATATAAATACATGTGTTTTACAGTACGTTTACATTTAACCGGATTTCGTTAACCCAGAGTGTTTCAATTGTCAATTCATTTACATATATGTCAAATAAATAAGTTAATCCGGTAAAAAGTTCTTATGTATATGCCGTTTTACTTTTGTGGTGAATAACGTCAAACGCCCTAGTTGAATTTTAGGTAGTGCTCTTATAAGATTTTGTACAAAAATTCTTATAAAAATGTTAATAAAAGTATTGCCAAACATATATATTTCATTTATAATTTTGTTTTTTTAATTTGTTGGCTCTACTTTAAAAGACATTTTTTAACATTTATTTGCGACAGCAGCTGGGCCGATGCGGCTACCTTATTAAATATACCTTGATGCCACCATGTAAGTTATCAGGAATACACTGTTCATGTCTATACCATCAAATCCGCATTGTAAAACTGGCTGAATGTTTGGAACGAGAATGTGGAATTCGTTTCACACTTCAAATAGTTCAAAATCAATTTTAAATGTCGGTATGTTACCAAAAAACCATTTAGCGGCGTTAGTTAGCAAAAGTGGATTGTTTTCCCAAAATAAGGACTATAACTCCTAGAAAAGAGTTATTTTCACGTATGAGTCCAAGTTCAATGTAAAAATATAAGATGGACTTTTCTCATCCATCCTATTTGATATATTAAATTTTGCGAGAGGACAATATGAGCTTATATCGATATAATCTCATTCCCACATTTAAACATGGTGTCGGCTCAGTGATAGGGGTATGGAGGTGTTTTTATGCAGCTGGAGTTGGAAAGCTCATTTTTCATTCATATGAAAACTCCGCCTTCTAGCGGCTGAATAATGCAAATATAAGTCGTTTTTTTTTAAATATTAAATGTATATGAAATTTTTAAACATCTGCTTATTGGATTGAATTCTTCGTAAATTTTTTAATTTTAGTAGGTGTACGAATATGAATTTTGCATACTGTAATTGTTTTTTTGTTATTCACCCCAAGTTGTCCTACCTTGTACGTTTATAATACTAAATCCATTCGATCTAAATTGTCAATTCCAAGCGTATACGTCACCTTAACACTAGTTTGCCGAAGGCGGTCATTTTGACCGTTTTTCAATTTCAAGTACAAACATAATTGTGCATATAATGACGCATCTTTTTAAAATTTGGTGACTTTTTATACCACATAGAACTACGTTTATTAATCATAGTTGCTGCTCCCTCACCTCTTTCATTTCCTGTATTCATATGTGCTATACCTATATTGCCTAAAATCGGTCATTTTGACCTCTTGTGAAATATTAAATAACCAAACTACTTTTATTATTGTATAAAATTAATTTCTTATATGACCAGATCAGTACAACATCGAAACCCATTTGCTACTCTAGAAACACAAACGAACACACAAATCGGGAAAAATAAATGTTATATTTCCAGTCGATTTCAATTTCAGAGTAAAGACTTCCTCTTTTTCGAACATTTTGTCCGCGCTTTTATTTTTCAAAAAGGGAAACTCGAGAGCCCTCCCACAGAAAACAAATAATAACAACGTTTTGTATGATCGTAAATAATGTAAAAAATTTTAAAAAATAATTTTAAAAACATTTCTTTACACAATAAAAATTCTTTCAGAATGAGGTCATTTTGACCGATTTTAGGCAATATAGGTATATACAAAATTCCAGTCTTTCTAGTGTTAATCATGTTCACAAATCCATTGGATTATATTTCACGTATGTATACGATATGGACTTGATATTTGAGATCTAGTGGATATCGTAAATCTTAACGCAAAAAGTGAACTTAACAAAGTTTCTACAGAGGTATTTTTGCAAATTAGATTCTTGCAGTACTGGAACAGACCAACACTTGACATCTGTCACAGCTGTTTGTTTGATATCATTCCCCTTTGCAAAATCGGAGACAGCTGATTAATGTTTTCTGTTTTTGTTGCTGTTCGTCTGTTGGAGGGCATATATGGCATATATACAAAGCCACTTGGATTGCCTTTTGCACATTTAACATCGCACATTTTTAAAATATAGACGTATATAGATAGTCCAGAATATTCTCTAATAAAAATGGTTAAGAAAATTCTAATGATTTGTTTGGGTAAATAAATACGCTATATTGTTTTACCATCCAAAAGTTATTAATAAATTTCTCTTCCATAGGCAACATTTGCCGGTCACCAATTGCCGAAGCTGTTATGGTCGACACCATTAAAAAGGCTGGAGTCTCGGATGAATGGGAGGTGGATAGTGCTGCCATTGGTGGTTGGCATGTTGGTAATCCACCAGATCATCGTGCCCTGAGTACAATGAAGAAACACGGTTTACCCTATACGAATAGGGCACGACAAATTAAGGCAAAGGATTTCGAAGAATTTGATTATATCTTTGGCATGGATGAGGAAAATATGGATGATTTGGCTAGTCGGGCACCCAAGGGTTCTAAGGCTAAATTGTTGATGTTGGGTGATTTTGGTTTACCCAAAGCGGAACGTATTATTGAAGATCCATATTATGTAAGTGATTGAGGATTTAAATTGATTTTAGGGGAAAGGGATGTAATTGTTTTGTGTGTTTTGTTTGACAGCAACGTGGTGATGCCGGTTTTGAAAAGGCCTATCAACAGTGTGTGGTCGCCTGTGATGCTTTCCTTAAAAAGGCTTTGGCCAATGAAATATGAGATAATTGTTTCGAGTCATAAAATGATTTATTATTGTTAAATGCTATATTTTTTAATTACCAATTTAGATTTTAGAAATGTTGTATTTGCAAAAATTATTGGTTTTGGTATTTCAAATTAAAATGTTGTAAAATTTATATAATGGCTATGTAATAAAACACAAATAAAAGTAAATATAGATTTTCAGATACAATTCATGGTCATAAGATTATGTTAAATTTAAAATTTACCTTATTTATAATAGCAATAATTTGAAAACATGGACTTATAACAATAGCTTATGATGGTATAATTTGAAAAAATGGAGCAGTCGATAATCGTTTCAATCAAGTTAATAATTAACAAATTTGCTAATAATAAACGAGGAGTCTATATGCGGGATTTGAAGTACATAGAGTTTGAAATTATAGATCATGAAGAACAGTAGTGTTGGCGTTTTATTTGGGATACCTTTTGTTTTTGCAAAATAGTCAGGCTGAATTCCAGTTTGTTGTTGTTTTTTTTTAATAAAAAACAACTATTTATTATTGGGGAATGTATGTCATTGTTCGCCGAGGGGTAAGGCGAGGAAGAAGAAGAACCCTTATTATAGTCTCTAATATTATTCTCCAAGAACTATATATCTAATAAACCACTTTTGAACTCAAATTAAATTCTGATTGTTGAAAAGCTTTTTGTAACTACCCAGTTGTTCAAAAAATATCAATTGTCACCTTTGATATAGTTATATAGCTAGTTGCCAGTTTCACTAGTTACATGACTGCCTATTTGTATCATGAAAAATATACAACATATCCATTCCTTAATTCAAAATTAAGACTAAATGTATATTGTGATTTCACTATATACAGGTAATGCAACATATCAACAATTGACTACTTTATAGATTACCAATGGTTAGAGTTGTATCCAAAATTTTTCAAAACTAATTCAACTTTTCGACTTTTTTCACAATACAAAAGCCTTCTATGTCTGTTTACCATTGAAGTTAATATTGTCATAGCAAAAAAAATAATAATAATTAAATTATTAAAAACATCGAAACGGTCGGTTCAGCATTTGAATTGTGATTTTTGTGAAAAAGGTGAAAAAATGAGCAAGAGACATTTGAAAAGATTAATAAAAAAATAAAAAGAAAATTATTTGCGTGAATTTAAAAATGTGGAAGAAATTTGTATGGAAAGTGCTGAATTAATTCCTAAAGAAAATCAACAACAATGCGAAAACAATTTTGAAGAGCAAGATTTGGAAATTTTTGAAAGCAGATCAGAATTAAATTTTAGTGAAAAATTAAAAGAATGGGGCATACAACACAGAATTTCACGGAGCTGTTCACAACATTTAATTCAAATTCTTAGGAGTGAGAATTTAATCGTTGCCCCCTTTTATAAATTTAATTATGCAACATTTATACTGTATTACTAGGTAAGAAGTTAAACACATGATTCTGACTATGTCAAAACCTTCTAATTTAAAAATAAATTTTAGATGCTATTTCATCGCAGAAGGATAGTCGTGGATCGCCCGAAGAACAAATTAGAAAATCAATGCAGAGGCAAAAGAAACGACAGTTTAAAAATATATCCGTGGCGAAATCTAAAGTTTCTCAGATTTAATAATTCAGTGTTTTTTTACATATTCCTATACTTATTTTCATTGTTTTTCTTTATTTTCATTTTTAATATGTTATTTAAAATCCATTTTATCTTTTCTATTTCATTAAAATAAATAATACCCGAAAAGCTACACATTAAATGCAATTTTTAATTATAGCTACTATGGAACAGGCGATATTTGACATTTTGTATATATACTTATAACTAGGTATTGGGATGTACCCATTTAGTTGGCTACATGTTACTAGTAATGTGCTTAACATATCTGACTAGCGAATTAACTGGTTATCGGTAGTGCAGAGTAGGGACAATTAACTTCCCCAATAACTACCGAATTGGCTGGTTACAGGTAATGCAAGGAAGGGACAATTGACTTCCCCAATGACATACACATGTTAAATTCACCAGTCTAGGGCATGAAGTGGTAACTAGTGGTAGTTACACGTAAATAGTAAAATAACTAGTACATAGCCAGTTACTCGAACTACTGGGTATTGTAATCAATTCAAACGTGTTTATATGAAAACTTAAAAATAAGTTTTTTATGTGACTGATTAATAATCTTTGTGAAATACCACAAAGAGCAAGCGATAAAAAACACTGTCACAACTATAATATTATTACTAATATTTGTGGACAATTCGAATACACACGAAATACGGGTAGAGGTTTGCTAATTCTGAATTTTAATAAAAGAGACCATAAGTTTGAAAATCTACGGGAAAATAGTATGTCAGAACAACTCTTCTGTTTGAGAAATTCACAAATAACATTTTCTTTCGATTGTAATTTCAATTTCAACATTTGGTCCTTCGAGCCAGAAAACAAGAAATCTTGTATATTCGAAAAAACCCTTTTAAAACAAAGAATAAAACAGAGTATTGAAAATGCATCCAAAAGGAAGAGATGTGTTTCAATTTCTCCCTAACAGTGGTCATTCGAGCCGGATAAATAAAAATTACAATCGATATAAAAGGTTGTGTTTCAATATCTTCACATCTTCAATAAATACATATGCTTACATTGTACGAAACTATTGCGTTTCTCTTCAAAACTTTTTTTAAAAATATTTCAAAGTTTCCAGAAAAGTCTGTAGACTCTAAAACAATTTTTAGTGGCATAATTAAGGACCTAATAATCCTGTTTTTAAGTAAAAAGGAATTAAAAAAAAATCCATTAAAAATATTTTTTATCCGATTGGCTAAAATTTTTTTGCAAAATATTTCATTTTAATTGTACTTTTATATGAGCCAATAATAAACCAATTTTTTTTTCCAAATTTGCAAATGACTACAAACTCCTAAACTAACATCAAAATCTATCTATCTATTCGATTTTCATTCACACATGTTATTTCATATTATTTTTTTTTTATTTCAACAATTCATTAAAACAGGTTGTCGATTTATATGACATTCGTACCTCAGATTTTACACCCACGAATAATAAGACCCCCCCATTCGCCGGATTAACATTTGTTGTCAAACTATGAAACACACAACAAATTACGTAGTTGTTGTGTGTTTATTTTTATTTTTGCATTTTGTTCTTAAGAAAACTATTAGAACAATAAAAAAATTTTTCTCAAATAAAAATTATTTGTTATCTTGATTTTCATATTTAGAAATAGAAGCTGTATTAGGTGGAAAATTTGCAAAGGGAATTAAAAAGCTAATCGAATACATCATGGGACGCCTTAGAATCTTATTTATCTGCATTGGTAAGTTTTTATTTCATTTTCTGTTTTGAAATTTGTTTGTTGTGTATTAGAGTATCTCAATTTGGTTTGTTTATTGTATAATTCTAGGCAACACTTGCCGTTCTCCGATGGCCGAGGGTATTCTCAAACATTTAGCTCTGAAAAATCAGCTTGACTGGATTATTGATAGTGCTGCTCTACGATCGTGGAATGTTGGTCGCAAACCAGAGGAACGTTGTTTAAAAGTACTCGATGATCATGGTATAAAACTAAAACATTATGGGCGAATGGTAAGTTCTATGTGATAAAAAAAAGATATGAAAGGGGGATTTAAATAACCGCGGTTATACAAGAATTAAGGAGAGATCTTCTAGTTGTTGTTGTTATAACAGGGTGGCTGTCGACGAAAGTTCCTTTGTGAAAATATTGACAGAAAACGGTGTGCGTAAGGGTGCTTAGCTGGCCGGAAGGACATATATTTAGGATTCCGACGACACAAATTAATCTCTCGATACAAATTAAGAACATAACAATGTTCTGATATTGGTTGTGTCAGAATGGAATGGGGTTGCCTTGAGAGATGTACAGATTTCATGGCAAGGTAGTCTTTATAGAAGAGCGGAATAAAGTCTTCATAGAAAAACAGAAGGGAGTATTTTTAGATCAACGGAAGAGAGTCATAAAGACGAGCGGAAAGGAGTTTATATAATCAAGTGGAAGCGGATCTTTAATTCGGTCGGGTCAAATTGAATTTTTTGAAATCTATATGCTAATAAATGAGTAAAGTGATTGACTGACTTAACGTCCAGGCCAAACGGTTGGAGCTAGAATCTTGAAATTTTGTGTAAGTTTCACACTTGGTACAAATGTGTCATATGAGGCTTGGTTTTTGGAAATTCGTACTAGAACGGTACGAAAAGTACTAAATATAGTACAAACGTGTGATATAAGGCTTGGATTTTGGAAATGCGTACTAGAACGGTACGAAAAGACACTAAATATGGTACCATTTGTATTTGGCGAACCGACGGAGTTAGAACTCTGAAATTTGGATAGAGGGTTATTGATGGAGTTTTTTTGGAATTCGAACTATAAGTAATCGAAAAGTACTAAAATGTACTAAATTTGTTACAATTTCGTAGAATCGATAGAGCTACAATCTTGAAATTTGGAATGCGAATTAAATTTGAGAATTAGGGTTGATATAAGGGGGTAATTTTGTAAGTGGAAGTTATGTATACGAAAAGTACTAAACGGCACTAAATTTGGTACAATTTGAATTTGGAGCTTGAATCTTGACATTTGGAGTTAGCATAATTGTTGGGGTGTTGTATTGGGGTATGTTGGAAGTTTTGAAAATGTTCACTAATGTGTACTATATGCCACTAAATTTGGTACAATTTGGATTTATAGTGAACCAATAGATCTTGAATTTTGAGATTAGGAAGTAGGATTGGTGTGTTTTTTTAAATTCGTACATATGCTTGCTAGAATAGGTATTTGTAGAAATTTATATTATAGTGTACTAACTGGAACTAAATTTGAATTTGGGTGAACCTATATATGAGATTTGGAATTTTTTGTCGAAATAAATATTACAGGAAATAAATATTAGGAAGTAGGATTGGGGTGTTTTTTTTTAAATTCGTACATATGCTTGCTAGAATAGGTATTTGTAGAAATTTATATTATAGTGTACTAACTGGAACTAAATTTGAATTTGGGTGAATTTGGAATTTTTTGTCGAAATAAATATTACAAGACTACGGAGGTAGTAGAGCTAGATTTCTGTTGCGGTCAGAATTGGGGTTTGTACATTTAGAAACACGTGCTTTAAGAGAACATATTAAAATTTTAATTATGGTCGGTATTGGTTATTAAATAATTCCCGCATTTGCTAACGATGTAGCGGGTATATGCTAGTAAATAAATATAGGCGGAGTCTTTATAAAATTTTAAATACTTACGATGTTTCTTTGGTCCAAAACCGTTTCAGAAAATTTGGAGTCGATTTACAAATGTCCGTCAGTCTGGTAGGTGCGCACGATAACTCTGAAAGGGAGAAACCGACTTCATCCTAATTTTGCACATCGTAATATTATCTTTCAAACTTAAATATAGTTCGAAGATTGGGAATATCGGACCACACCCTCTGGTACCTCCCACACAAAATGGTAAACATTTTGTTGAAATTAATTTTGTAAAATCATGCGAACGTCAAGATGTTTCTTTGGACTATCCAATTTGAATCAAACATAGACCAACCTAATATTATTACCAAGCCTGTATGTTCTAGCGACTTATCGGTGCATTCCTTTTAGTACCTCCACCACAAAAATTTAAAATTTTCAATTTTTATAAATTTCACTCCTTGTGGCACCCTATAAAGGGTCAAATCTTAATTATTTAATCCAATATCAAGCGAATGGATTGTCCGATTTGATCCAAACTTTGCACATCATAATATTTTTACCATGGTTAGATCCAGTCCGAAAATGAGACCAATCGATCCACTCCTTCTGGTACCTCCCCCAGAAATGTCTAAATTTTGAAAATCTGTTAATTCAATATCAAACGAATGGAGTGTCTTATTTATCCAAACTTTGCAAGTCGTAATCCTTTTACCAAAGCTAGATCATGTCTGAAGATTGGACCCATCGTTCTACTCCTTCTGGTACTTCCACTACAAAGGGTCAACATTTTAATAAATTGTTATTCCAATATCAAGCGAATAGAATGTCCGATTTGACCCAAACTTTAAACATCGTAATACTTTTACCAAAACTAGAACACATCAGATCACTCCTTCTGACACCTATCCCACAAAGGGTCCAAATTTTAATAATGGAGTGTAATGTTCGATTTGATCCAAACTTTGCAAATCGTAATACGTTTTCCTAACCTAGATTACCTTTGAAGATGGGGCTCATCGATCCCCTCCTTCTGGTTCCTCTCAATATCAAACGAATGGAATGTCCGATTTGATACAAACTTTGCATATCATAATATGTTTATCTTGGGTAGATCAAATTCGAAGATATCAAACGTATGGATTGTCCGATTTTATTGTCCTCCGCAAACCATCGGTTGGGGGTATACAAACCGACTCAAACTTTTTCTTTGTTTTCCTTTTCAGATAACTATGGAAGATTTTGAAAAATTTGATTATATTCTCGGCATGGATGAGAGTAATCTAAATGAACTCCAAGTGATGGCTGATATGGCGGGTAAAAAATGTCGAGCTAAAGTTGGACTGTTGGGGACCTATTTGGATAATTATGAAATGGAAATTATTAAGGATCCATATTTTGTAAGTCATTGATTGTGGGTCATTATTACAAGTTTCCGATAATCAATATGGGATGATATCTAACAGTGTGGGGTCTATAAAAGGAATATTTTATAAAAATGGCCCTGGCTGATCTTAAAGGAAGAATAAATATTAATTTAATTTTTTATATATTACAGAGCAAGGGTATGTCGGCATTCTGCAGTACTTTCGATCAAGTCTATGAAAGTTGTTTAAAGTTGATTGAAAAACATCGATTTGATAATGTGGAACACGAAGACGATGATGATAATGGTGAAACAAAGGAGGTACCGCAGGAGGGCCCCAAAGAAGTGGCGAGTGTATGAAGGAGGAAATTGTATAGAATGAAATATGAGTTTGTAATCTGGTGGCAGGTGCGATACTTATAATTGAAAACCTCAATTAGGTCTCAGGGATTAGATGTCTGAATTTATTATCTAATTTCTATAAAATATTTATAAACTTTGCAAGTATTACAAAAATATTCACATGACTAAATTTTGTGTATTGATAATTATATTAGCTTTCTAAATTTATTTATAAACATATTTTATTTGATTTTATTATTATAAATTTATTTCAATATTCTTATAAAATATATTATTATAAAATATATGTATAGAAACTAAATTCTTTGTATAATTGTTTTTCACTAAACTACTAAACCACTAAGGACATCATCAATAAAATGATCCCATTTCTTTTGCAGCAGAGCATAGGCTCTCTGCCTTTCCCCAGCTTCAAATGTAGAATATTTTAACGAATTCCATACCAACTGTTTGAGAGTCTTTAGGCCGGCATTATTTGGTGCCAAACTCATAATGGCATAATAAAAATCATAACTCAGACCCTTAGCATCCCAAAATCCAGGATCATCATTACATATAACCATGGGTATATTTTGTGCAAGGAATAAAGCACCGGGATGATTACGTAAATCCCATACTAAATTCAAAATTTGATTTGATATCGGACTGACTTCGACAGCAATATCACGAGATTTCACGGCATTCCAGAGAACAGGATGTTTCATCAGGGCAAAACCATGACCAATACGTGTTGTATTCAAGAGTATCGCATCCAAGAGGTTGTAATCTGTTGAGGCACCAAACCAATCTGTAAGTAAGGAGAGGGGGAGAAGGATAATTGTTTTTGTTTTTCTGTGGGAAATATGTAATATTTGTCTTACTTGTCTCTCCTGCGTGGAAAAAGAATTTAGCCGATTTGGGTAGATCATGTAGAACACTGACGAAATTATGCAAAGGCTTTCCCTTATCTTCCTGGCCAACCAAATCAAAACCAATCAATTCTTTGGGATACATGGAACTGTAAAGAAAAAAGGTTGTCATTAAAAAAATATTATTAATGGCCAATTTCATCGACGAGCCGAAGAAGGTCTATAAAATTCCCACTCCCACTTGCCTCTGAGGACTCATTTCAGATGTATACTTACTGATACTTCTTAAAGATGTCATAACGTTTGCGCATTACATCCGGTTCAGCATTACGATGAGGTGAGACAATAATTTTTATTCCCAAAAAGTCGGGATGCTGTAGTTTGAATTTCCGGATAATATCAATGAGTTCGGTAATGCAACGTTCCGCTGGGAAGATCCGACCACTAATATCATATAACTGAAAACAAAAACAACAAATTAATGTGAATTTTTAAAAACAATTTCAGGTGGTATGGTTGAACCTACCACCTGAAATTGTTGGGACCTACCTCATAGAAATTCATGCGAACTTCGGCATACATGATATTATCATTGTACATTTCTTCCATCATTTGCCAGTGATAGGTACGGAAAGCGGGTATGTACAGCAATGCATCCGAAATGGTGCTAAACATATTTTGAAATTTGGACCAAACCCGATTTATGGAAGAATATTCTACTGGAAATTTTTGGATAATAGAAGAATAAAAAAATAATATTAGAGTCAACGGAATGCTCATTTCCCATTAAAAGGTGCTACTTACATTCCGGTGTGGGTGTATACAAATTAATAAGTTTCTCCAAAGCACGATCATATTCCGATGCTGATGCGGAACGACTTCTTTCCTCATTCACCGAAACATATTGTGTTGCACAGTTGTGTTTCTCCGGCATACGACGAAAACTCAAAATACTAACACCATCCTTTTTAACGCATCGTAGTAGGCCCGGCATACGGAATATATTTGCCACAACCCATTTGGAAGAAACGGTGGCGGAGGTGTGTGTATGTAGCAGTGCTCCCTTGGGCATTTGTTGGAGGAAATGAAATACTTTACTTCGTTCGATTAATGGCTTGGCCTTAAAGAAATGCATGGCAGCTGGATTTCGATCGGAATCATGAAATCCCCGTGCCAGCTCATCGTATTTATATTTGAGAAATATTTCATCGACTTTCGATTCACGGCTATTTAAATGTAAACGTCCACCGGTGCTGAGGAGATCTTCGGCCTGGATGACGGCTTCGCGAGCATCTTGATAGGCTGTAAAATATTACAAAAATAATAAAAAAAGGTTAAGGGGTGGTTGAAAAAAGGACTAATAAGTAAAAAACCTGAGGGAGCTTTTATTTATAGACGAGCTGAAGTGAGTCTTTATAGACGAGTGAAGGGAGTCTTTATAGATGAGCTGAAGGGAGTCTTTATAGATGAGCTGAAGGGAGTCTTTATAGACGAGCTGAAGGGAGTCTTTATAGAAGAGCGGAAGGATGTTTTTATAGACGAGCTGAAGGCAGGGAGTCTTTATAGACGAGCTGAAGGTAGGGAGTCTTTATAGACGAGCTGAAGGTAGGGAGTCTTTATAGGCGAGCTGAAGGCAGGGAGTCTTTAAGACGAGCTGAAGGCAGGGAGCCTTTATAGACGAGCTGAAGGCAGGGAGCCTTTATAGACGAGCTGAGGCAAGGAGTCTTTATAGACGAGCTGAAGGCAGGGAGTCTTTATAGACGAGCTGAAGGCAGGGAGTATTTATAGACGAGCTGAAAGCAGGGAGTCTTTATAGACGAGCTGAATGCAGGGAGTCTTTATAGACGAGCTGAAGGCAGAGAGTCTTTATAGACGAGCTGAAGGCAGAGAGTCTTTATAGACGAGCTGAAGGCAGGGAGTCTTTATGAGCTGAAGGCAGGGAGTCTTTATAGATGAGCTGAAGGCAGGGAGTCTTTATAGACGAGCTGAAGGCAGGGAGTCTTTATAGACGAGCTGAAGGCAGGGAGTCTTTATAGATGAGCTGAAGGCAGGGAGTCTTTATAGACGAGCTGAAAGCAGGGAGTTTTTATAGACGAGCTGAAGGCAGGGAGTCTTTATAGACGAGCTGAGGGCAGGGAGTCTTTATAGATGAGTGGAATCGAGTCTTCCTACACGAGCGGAAGGGAATATTAATGCACGAGCGGAAGGGGGTCTTTATATTTTTCTAAGCAGACGATCTGAAGAAGGGAAATTTTATTGATTACCTAAAGCGGGTTATTTTTAAGGTCGGACTCAAAAGGGGTGTACTTATAGATGAGTTGAAGCAGGGAGTCTTTATAGAATACCTGAGGAAGGGAGTCTTTATACAGTTCTCTTTATTAACAGAGTTGTAGCAGGAAATTTTAATAGACTGGCTGGAGCAGAGACTTTATTGACGAGCAAAGCACTGCATTTTTGAAGGCGGACTAAAAAAGGAGTCTTTATTGAGGAGCTAAAGAAGGGAATTTTTACAGAGGAGCTGTTTGAGTTGAAGCAGAGTTTTCGGGTGTCTTTATAGACGAACCGAAGAAATTGAATCTTTATAGACGAACTGAAAACAAGGACCAACTACAGACGAAAAGTAAACTCTTGTATAAGTCTTTATAGACGAGCTACTGAGAGTCTAGACGTGAGTGCGGGAACTTTGCTTCTTTTACCTATAAACTCTCTTTTTTACTGGTTTATCAACCCTCCTTCCATTTATTGCCCATATGTGTCATATTGGCAAATTTCTCAATGAAAATTAATAATTTTTAATAAAAAAAATTAAAAACTCATTTTTTTCCAATACTTACGCAAATAATATTGTTTTTGTTTTAGAACAGATGTATCGGTGGTTGCCGCTTTTGCCGATGTACATATTGCTATCGTAGTTAATAGCCAAATTTGAAATTTAATCATTTCACAATTGTTGTTGTTCTTCTTGAGTTTAATTTGTTTGTAGCTCTGAATGGTAATTGAAAGTAAAAGTTCATTTATGGTTTAGACGATTTTGCACAATGAATGGTTGGTGTGCTCGATGGAAACAAAGCTGTTCAAAGAAAGATATAAATATTAAACACAAACATTCAGGTGGGTTTTTTTTCATTTCAATATAAAGATATTATTAGTCAAAAATACCACAGACAAAATTGAAAAAGAAATGGGGTACTAATGCAAATTATTTACTAAGCCTCTATTTGAAAATTTGGCAGAGGCAGTTTTGAACTACATTTTATGCATGGTTAATTGTTAAAACTAATTTTAAATCGATTCAAAACTACAATCTCAAAAATTAGTTCATGGATTGCAATTTTAATTTAGAAATTATAAACACCAGAGTAGTAAGCCGGTACCAAATTATGTAATTAATATTGCAATCTTCTATTATATTTAAAACAGACGGACAGGCAAGTGGATGCACTAATTAAAAAATATATATATTTATGAGACACTATAACACTATGAATATATCGAGGTGTTAACCAATGAGGACAATATTCTACCAAATATTGAGTATATTATAGAAGTGCTCTAAATTATATATGGATGTATCCATATAAATAAAACTAATTGTTTAAATAATTAGTTAAAATTAAAAAAAAATAACAGTAATGAAAGTTTCACCACTTTGGGTATCCTGACAATTTCATGTCACTGTTCCTTCGTGGGAAATTGAACGAATTTAAATATGTGACCTTTATCTATAAGTGAACCGACTAACATCAATCCATACACATGTCGTTCTGCAATTTTCACTTCATTCGGACAGATTTAGAGTCCATTGCGTGCAATGTGACAAATTTATGTAAATCGATTTATAGCAAATTTGATACACGCCAAAATGCCATTCTTACCAATCGGACAAATATTAGGAGTTTGGTGCCTCATTCACCTAAAATCGGACAAAAATATATATTTTTTGGTGATATATCTACATCCGAACCGATTTCAACGAAACTTGCCAGAGATAATTTATATTAACTTCAGTCTTTAGTGCACAATTTAAATAAAATCAAAAGAAAATACATATGGGAGCTATATCTAAATCTGAACTGATTTTCTTTACACATATCAAATCGAAAGATACATACGGACTTTGGCGAACTATTTACATTAAATCGGAAGAAAATATGTATGGGAGCTACATATATCCAAATCAGAACCGATTTTCACTACTAAATTCAGCACACTATGCCAAATTTCGTGCAAATCGAATGATATATAGGGACTTTAATACACCATTTACATTAAATCGAACGAGATTATAATGGGAGATATATCTAAATCTGCACCGATTTCACCGAAACTTCTCTTACATCAATCTATATTTGGAGATCAATTACCCGAAGTCGGTCGGAAATATGCATGGGGTATGTCTGTACTTCTACAAAACTCGTGTCCTTCCTTCGTTATGTTCTTTACGAGAACTCAAACGAAATTGTAATTTTTTAGGTCCATTGCAAGGCGTGGATTTAAAATATTGTTTTTGGGCCTTCCTATGGCGTGAACTTTTAAAATACAATATTTTCTATTTCACCATATGTCGTGGACTTTTTCCTAGGCCCTTCTTAATGAGTGATTTTTTAAAGATAATTGTTTCATGGATCAACCTAGGTGTGAATTTTCAAAGAATATTATATCTAGGCCCTTTTAAAGAATATAATATCTAGGCCCTTTTAAAGAGTATAATATCTAGGCCCTTTTTAAGACGTGAAGTTTAAAATAATGTTTTTTGTAGGTCATTCTTATGGCGTGGATTTAAAGAATATTTTTTCTAGGCCGTCCATCCGTCCGTCAGTCTGTCCATTATATTTTGTAAAACACGATACAGGCCACAGTTATGGACCAATCTTCACGAAATTTTGTATGTAGGATGAATTCTGGCCAATGGAGACCCCTATTGTTTTTGGGAAAGACCGGTTAATATTTAGGGGATGAAATGGACTAAATCCTTTATTTTTGTCTTTTTTGAAGATGCAGCCAAGGCTTTGTTACAGCCCTACCTAAAATTCAACTAGCTCGTTCGATGTTTTTCATCACAAAAGTAGAACACATGTATTTATATGAATGTTACCGAAATACATCGAACGTACAAAATTTGAAGTTGAACAATTTCAACGTTGACAGAACGTATTTTACACTTTTTTCTTTTGTTGAAAATAAAAACAAAATATTCAGATAATATGAAATTTTGAATGGGAACATAAAACGGCATATACATTAAAACTTTATGAGGATATATTTTACGTATATGCAAAGGAATTGCCAATTGAAACCCACAGGGTTAACGAAATCCAGTTAAATGTAAACGTACTATAAAATGCTTGGATGAATTCCATGGTATAATAATAAAAGGTAACAGCAAGTGTTGTTGTACAAAAAACGATACAACAACCACATGGAAATTTGTTGTTGTAAGTTCTACTAGTGTCAACTCATTTGACAGAAAAATGTAAACAAACAAACAAATTATCATCAAAATATTTTTATTTTGAAAATGGAATATTTTCGAATTCTCAAAATAAAAATTGAAAAACATGAATGAAAATCTATGTTTCTATCGCTTCCACATCTTTCCTTTAATTGAGCCATTGCCATATATATGTGTAAAGGAATAACTCGCTATTCCCAGTATTTTCATATGTGTAACACATACAGTGACGAGAAGAAATGAGTACATGTTTGTACATTGGACACTTTTTGAGTCATAAAAATAAAAATATAAAAGCAAATTCCAAAATTTTGGTTGTATTTTATAACGTATTTGGTACCTAACACATCAACCTAAAGTTAAATAATTTAACTCTTTAATTTCTAAGAAAAAAACAGAGAAAAGTAAATCAACTCCAATGTACTCACTTTTGCACTTTTGAACAAATTTGCAGAATTTGAATATTTTTATTAATTATACTGTAGTTTTATATTTTAAATGTATGATTTATGAAATTTGGCATATTTTCAACAAATTTTAGTACAATTTCATTGGAATTATTCTTCCAATCACTTCAGATCCACTACCAAAGTTCGTCTATATTATTAGGGGCTGATTGGTACTGTCCCACCTCTCTCTTTGCGATTGGCCCCAAATTATCGATCGGATTGATGTCGAAACTTTGTGCTGACCACTGTGTTAATTCAAAATTTTGCTCACGAAGATATTCTCTCACGAATTTTGACGTATATCTTTGATCACGGTCCTGCTCATAATAACTTCTTCTACAGAATAGGCGTACTTAGCTACCTAAACTGAATGATATGACTCTTCAATGATCAAAATGGACTTCTTTCATTATTATATTGTCAATTTTTTTAACATCGGTCCAGGACGCACAAGTTAAAGCCTACGCATACCATGACAATTCCTCAACCGTGCTTCACATTGGGCCTTTGAATTAGTTTTCATCACCAATAATGCTTATCGTCGGATTGAAAACGGTAGAATTTGGATTCGTCGGACCCGATCACACGTTTCCAGTCGACCACAGTTCAACTTTTGGTCTAGTTGAAAAGTCTTTAACCTTATTTTGCAGTTTTTTTCCTATAATACAGGTTTTTAGTCTTTTTTTAATGCTGCTATATCCAATGTCGGGAAGGGCTTTTCACGCTGTTCAATGACTAACAGGTTTGACGAGTACTTACGAAGCATATTTTGGTGTTAAAACATATCAAATTACATTTCCCTTATCATTAGACGTGGGTCCACACAACTTATAAGCGGTGTACGACCACTAATTTAAGGATTGGGAAAAACGGAACATCGTTTTTGTACCCATATAACCAATAATTGACACAATTTAATTCCCTTTGCAATTTCCAGGGTAGAACAGATTTTTCAGATTTTTCCGAATGTCCTCTTCAGTAGTTATTATATATATTTTTTCTTGAATTATTATTATTAATTATTTATTTGATTTTTGTTCAAAACTTTGTAAAATTTTTAGTAAACGGGACTTAAATGATGTAAAATTTATATATTTTCTTAAAAAAACTAATGAAAACCAAAAAAAGATTAAAAAATGTGATATTGCATTCCTTTTCTGCACATTATTAAAAAAATGCAGACGTGCAAAAGTGAGTACATTGGGGTTGGTTCCGTTTTCTTTATTTTTTCTTAGTTATTTTTAAGATTTAGATTTCGTTTGTTTACATTTTTCTGTCAAATAAGTTGATACTAGTAGAACTTACAACAACAAATTTCCATGTGGTGGTTGTATCGTTTTTTGTACAACAACACTTGCTGTTACCTTCTATTATTATACCATGGATGAATTCATGCCTGATGAGCCGCTTAACCAACGGCGAAACGCGTCGCATAATGGCGTCAAACGCGTCAAATTTATATTTCTATCGCTTCCACATCTTTCCGATAATTATGCCATTGCCACTTATGTGTGTAACATGTATGAAAATGCAGGGAATAGCGAGTTATTCCATGAAGAATGATTTGCTTCCTCAAACGTTTCCAGTAGGCAGATTGAGAAAATTGAATACGGGAGCAAATTTAATAAAGAACAATTTCAAATTGTATGCGTTCCCAATGTTCCTGTTGGGTGATTTTTAAAACCTAATTTGTCAAATTCATATTGACACAAGTATTACGTTGGAATCAAATCAGCTGGCATATGCTGTTACCTTTTATGATTGTACCATGGAATGAATTTAATAAATTTTCAAATTTGTTTTGCGGTTTGTATTATTCGCTTGAAGATATGGATTCGAGGTATTTGTGTAATACGGCCGTACACAACTGGTCTGTTCCAGTACTTTTTTAATGGTAAAGCTGGTAAACGGGAAACATTTCAAAATTGCTCTCAGAGTACAAAAAAATTTGAAAAGTTCGGGAACGAAAATCTAGTAAATATGCCAAAATTAGATGACAATACTTCAAAATCAGCATAACAGCCAATCAGAAGTAGGCA